TCGCGACTGCACCACACTCTCGCCACTCAGTCGGCTAGTGGCAGTCTCTCTGGCTAACCCCTCTGGGGGTCCGGTCCTTGCACACTCCTCCACGGTCCTGCCGTGTCCGGCGGTCCCGTCTGGCTCTCTGTCTGGCCTCCACCTCCCCTCGTTCTCCACGAACTTGGTGAGTGGAGCTGACCTTCAGGACGCGTGGGTTGACCAGTTCACTCCTGGAGGTCAGCGGGTGACCCACTGTTTGTGTACTCGGACGGGCCGGCACCTGGCCACGTTCACCCGTCAGCCTGGGTCGAGCCTGTACACCCTGACTACCGTGTCTCCTCCGGTTGCTGAGTCTGGTCAGGTAGCCGCGTCGGGTCAGGTGTTTGCTGCAGCGTCCCGGTCTGGTCCTGAGTCTGCCCCCTGCTCGTGTCGCCTCCTGTCTCACCAGACTCTCCTCTGGCACCACGGCCTTGGTCACCCCTCCCTGCCTCGTCTCCGAGGCATGGCCTCCCGTGTCCTTGTCACAGGTCTTCCCCGGTCTCTCCCTCCCCTCCCCCCGGGGCCTGCCCCTACCTGCGTTCCTTGCGTTGAGGGGCGGCAGCGCGCCGCTCCTCACTCCTCCGAGTTCCCTCCGACGGAGGCTCCCCTGCAGACTCTTGACATGGACGTGTGGGGCCCAGCCCGCGTCCGTGGACAGGGTCACGAGCGCTACTTTCTGCTGGTCGTTGACGACTACTCGCGTTACACCACAGTCTTCCCCCTGCGCCGCAAGGTTGAGGTCACTGAGGTGCTGATCAACTGGATCCGCGCTGCCCGTCGTCAGCTCAGCGAGAGTTTCGGCTCGGACCTTCCTGTTCTGCGTCTGCACTCCGACAGAGGTGGAGAGTTTTCCTCCGACCTTCTGCGAGCCTTCTATCGTGCGGAGGGCATCCGCCAGACGTTCACGCTTCCGGCCTCTTCGTAGCAAAATGGGATTGCTGAGCGCCGCATTGGCATGGTCATGGACGTCGCTCGTATGTCCATGATCCATGCGGCTGCTCCCCATTTTCTGTGGCCGTTCACGGTTCAGTACGCTGCGCATCAGCTCAACCTCCAGCCCCGGTTCTCCGTGCCGGAGACCACACCTACTCTGCGGTGGACGGGGAAGGTTGGCGATGCGTCTGCGTTCCGTGTCTGGGGATCTCGAGCTTTCGTCCGCGACTTGTCTGCGGACAAGCTGTCCTCCCGTGCTGTTCCCTGCGTCTTCCTTGGCTTCCCCCCTGACGCGCCTGGTTGGCAGTTTTACCACCCCACCTCGCGCCGTGTCTTCCCCTCTCAGGACGTCACGTTTGACGAGTCGGTTCCTTACTACCGTCTCTTCCCCTACCGCACTGCCCCCCTCCCCCCCCCGCCGCTCTTCCTTGCGCCAGGTCCTCCCCCGGTAGACCCCCTTCCCCCTCAGGGTCCTGCCCCCTCAGGTGTGTCCCAGGTAGACGCAGTCGAGCCTGTCGAGGTAGCTGTTGACTCTGGTGCTGCTAGGGGTGCTGAGCCTGCGGGTGCCGGGTTTGGGGGTACTGAGCCTGAGCGTGCGGAGCCTGGGGGTGCTGAGCCTGGGGGTGCTGAGCCTGGGGTTGCTAAGTCTGGGGGTGTGGAGCCTGGGGGTGCTGAGTCTGGGGGTGCTGAGCCTGGGGTTGCTGAGTCTGAGGGTGCTGAGCCTGCGCGTGTGGAGTCAGGAGGTGCTGCGCCTGGAGCTCCTTCGGGTACTTTGTCCCGGCGGGAGCCACTCTCTCCACAGAGTGGTTTGCTCGGCGCTGGAGCCGTGCTGCTGGAGCCGGTGGTGCTACGGGCGCTGGAGGTCCTGCTGCTATTGGAGCTGCTGGGGGTTCTGGAGCCACTGGTCCCGGAGGTGCTCGTACTGGAGGTACTGGAGCTGCTGGGCCTCGTGGTGCTGCTGGAGCTGGAGCTGCTGGAGGTGCTGAAGCTGGCGGTGCTACTGGAGCGGGTGCTGCTGGAGGTGCTGGCCCTGGCGCTCCTGGAGCTGCTGGGGCTTCTGGTGGTCCTGCTGGAGCTGGAGCTGCTGGAGGTACTGGAGCTGGAGGTGCTGCTGGAGCCGGTGCTCCTTGGGGTGCTGGAGTTGGCGCTACTGGAGCTGCTGGAGGTGCTGCTGGAGCTGGTGGTGCTGCTGGAGTTGGAGCTAACGCTGGGGGTGCTGGTGCTGTCCCTGCTGGTTCTGGAGGCGCTGCGCGGCCGCGGCCGTACTTCGTTCCGCTCCTTGAGCAGGTTCTTGGTCTCCCGCCTTCTACTGGTCCTGCTCCTTCCTTAGAGTGTCCACCGCCTGTCCAGTCCCAGTCACAGTTACAGCCCGCCTCCCCACTGCCTGCTCCTTCTCCTTACACTGGTCCGACAGGAGGTCTTACGGAGCGTCGTGAGCCTGAGCCTCGTCCTGCGTCTCCTGTTCGTGCTGCTTGCACTAGTCGTCGTGGTTCGCGTCAGCGTCCTCCTCCTGTCCCTGGCACGCACCAGATGGCTCTGCGTCCTTCCACTGCTCCGCAGCGCATCCCTCTGCCGTCTCCTCCTGCGTCTTCTCTTCCTGCCCTTGCTGACCCGGAGTCTGACTCCCTTCGTGCTGCTAGTCCTACTGTCACGCGTCTCCTGGCCACTGTTGTCACTGACCCTTCCTTTGAGTCCACTGCTGCGTCTGCCTTCGTTGCTGAGCTTGTCGACTTTGCTGCTCACTGTCGTCTAGACTACGCCGCTAGTCTTGTTGCTGAGTCTGAGTCTGTCTATCCTCCGTCTGTCGGGGGTGAGTGTGCTCTTAGCACGGACGTCCTTGAGGACAGGCAGGAGGAGTTCCAGTGCTTTGCTGCTGCTTTACCTCATCTCGTGTCCATGCTGCTTGCCCCTGAGGGAGACCCGAATGCACCAGACATCCCGACCCCGCGCTCTTACGCAGAGGCGATAGAGGGTCCCTACTCCTCTCAGTGGCAGACAGCCATGGACGCAGAGATGGCTTCCTGGAAGTCCACAGGCACCTACGTCGACGAGGTTCCCCCACCTGGGGCGAACATTGTCGATGGCATGTGGATTTTCAGGGTGAAGCGGCCGCCGGGTTCTCCGCCTGTCTTCAAGGCGCTACGTGGCTCGAGGCTTTAGTCAGCGGCAGGGAGTTGACTACTTTTAGACCTTCTCTCCCACCCCGAAGATGACCACTCTTCGGGTACTGCTGCACGTCGCTGCTCAGCGTGACTACGAGCTTCACTCTCTTGACTTCCGCACAGCCTTCCTACAGGGCAGCCTGCACGAGGAAATCTGGCTGCGCCGCCCACCTGGCTTCACTGGGTCGTTTCCTCCTAGTACCCAGTGCAGTCTCCGGCGGCCAGTCTACGGTCTCCGCCAGGCGCCCCGTGAGTGGCACGACACACTGAGGACTACACTTGCGGCTCTTGGGTTTGCTCCTTCCACTGCTGACCCGTCGCTGTTTCTCCACACTGACACTACTCTGCCGCCGTTCTACATCCTCGTGTACGTCGACGACTTGGTCTTTGCTAATGCTGACACTGGTGGACTGGCCCACGTGAAGTCGGAGCTGCAGAAGAGACACACGTGCACAGACCTGGGTGAGCTGCGCAGCTATCTTGGCTTGCAGATCACCCGGGACAGAGCACGGCGCACCATTACCTTGACTCAGTCACACATGGTGCAGCAGGTCCTTCAGCGCTTCAACTTCACGTACTCCTCGCCTCAGGCCACTCCTCTGTCTACTCGCCACTCGCTCTCAGCTCTGCCTTCGGATGAGTCTGTAGAGCCGAGTGGCCCGTACCCAGAGCTTGTTGGCTGCCTCATGTATCTGATGACCTGCACTCGACCTGACCTGGCATACCCTCTTAGCATCTTGGTGCGCTATGTTGCTCCTGGGAGACACCGACCAGAGCACATGGATGCAGCTAAGAGGGTGTTGCGCTACCTGTGCAGAACGTCGGGCATGGGGCTCGTGCTTGGAGGACGGGCTCGAGTTGTCCTCACTGGTCACGCAGACGCTTCTTGGGTTGACGACTTGGCTACGCAGCGGTCGTCACAGGGTTACACCTTCAGCCTTGGTTCCGGCTCTGTTTCGTGGCGGTCTACCCGCTCGTCTTCTGTTCTCAGCTCCAGTTGTGAGGCTGAGATCTACGCAGGGGCCATTGCTGCACAGGAGCTACGCTGGCTTACCTACCTGCTGACCGACTTGGGAGAGGCGCCTCGTTCTCCAGTTCTGTACGTCGACAACAAGGTCATGCTGGCCTTGTGTCAGGAGCACAGACTGGAGCACAGAACGAAGCACATTGCTCTGCGCTACTTCCTTGCTCGAGAGTTGCAGCAGCGTGGTCAGCTTCGTCTTGCTTACGTGGCCACTCAGGCCAACACTGCTGATATCTTTACCAAGGCACTTCAGCCTTGTGATCATCAGCGTTTTTGTACTATGTTAGGTCTTGTGCCTACCTGGCCTCACTTGCTTACCTCTTGACTTTGCTTGTACTGTGATCTATATATACCTGCACCTGCATGCTTACCCTTGCTAGGTTGAGATCACTGTCTTGCTTGTTCACCTTGATTTATAATCCTGTATGTGAACTGGCCTTGTGGCCTTGAACTTGTGCTCAGAATGTGTGGTGACGTTGTGATCCACCCTGAGCTTGACCTTGCCTTGTTCTCTTGCTTGTCCCCCACTTTGCCTATGGGGGTGTGTCAGAACTATATTGTAGGCTGTAGTGGGGTAGACAATATGGGGTACAACACTTTTAGGTTTGCCTACTTGTACCCACCTGCTTCCTAGTTCATTCATTCCTCGTACTATTCTCACACATAATGCTCAATAATTGGTTATAGACCGGCTATATGGCGATCCGCAATGTGAGTTCTGAGTTTACGGAAACCATAGAGGTCCAGAATAACAAGGTTTCAAAGAGTTTTGTACATTAACACTGCACCATATGTTTTTCCACCATACTGCCGCCCACACCAGGGCATATAAGTGCAAGTTTGAACAACCACCCTAGTGGTCAGAAGAGGAACCGATTCACTAGCAGGATGTTGGAGTGCGTGAAAGAGGGTACGATGTGCGCAAGGGCTAGGATGCAATCCACCTCGATCACCGAACACTCGTCATCCCCCGTCGTAGGCACAAGGCGTAAGCACCCGGTCACGGGACATGGTGGCGAGACCTCATCGTAGTATTTCACAAAAGCCCTCTGCACTCTAGCACCGTTGGGCCCCGTGAACTGGAAGAGAATGAGGAGCTTGCTGTACCACTCAGCCCCGCCCCCTTGGATGCGGATGTGGCTGAACTTGTGCTCATCGGGGGCAGCCTTCACCAGCTGCCCGTGGTCTCGGGTGTCCATCCGCGTGTGCGGTGGTATCGCAACGGCCGTGTGCACCTAGGTGTGGATGAGTAACACAATGGTTAGGGAATCATATAGGCATGGCCAGAGGCACCACTGCATGTCACAACGCCTTGAAAATGTGTCGCCACGTGCTCTAGGGGGGTGGGAGGGGTTTTGAGACAGAGGGATACGTGCTTAGCGAAGTGCTCCAGTGTCGTCTGCACGTCAGCGTCGCAGGACTCGCAAGGTTTAGGGTACCTGCACCATCAGATTGAGGTCGGGTAGCTCAACCCCTGCGTGACCAGATGAGCACTGCCATTGCATACCATCCAGCCCGGCATCTTGTCCAGTGGGTGATGAAAGATGGGCCATATGCAGGGAGGAAGAGGTGCGTTGGGGGGGGGGGGGGGGGGGGGGGGGGGGTGGGGGGGCGGGGTTGGTTGTCACCACGTGAACTCGGCTTACGGGTTATGCGCTGTAAGGGACATGCTTCCATACGGCTCTACGGTCACTCAAAAGCATTGAAATGCGGTGAGCGGAGGTGGCTCGCGTGGTGGCTAGTGGGATGATGAGGGTGGATGCTGAACGGACTTCCTTTTTTTCCTCCTAGTAGCGTATGATGTGTTAATGCGCACCTGCAGGGTCGACACCCCGATCCCCGCCCGAACCAGCTCCCCTGAGAACCTCCGCATCACCTCGTCACCCAGCGCAAGCTTGTAGGAAGACCAAGCGCCGTCGTGTGGTTCACCGACAGTCATGGTTCTGCTCGTCTTGGTGAGCACCCGCTCATGCCGCTCAATGGCCTGTACCAAAAATAAAAATAAAAATGCATGGAGAAACGGAGGATTTAGAGAACTTATCATCATACCAGGAACTGGACGGCAGCACCAACATGCCTATCGCACACACGCGGTGTCCAGTCCCATCCCTCCAGCAAAAACCACCCCTCCCCTTCCCGGGCATCCATCCCATCCCCTCCCTTAAACCAGCCTCTGCCCGCACACAGGCATCCAATCCCATCCCCCCCGGGAACCCTCTCCACCCCTTCCTCAACATCCAATCCCATCTCTACTGTGAACCACACTCTCCCCTCTACTAACAGGCCACCCCATCCCATCCCATCCCTCCCGCTCCCCTTCCCTATCCACACACGGGCATCCACCTTCCAACTTCCCTTCTCAGACATCCAATCACTTCCCTCATTTCGACCCACCCCTCCCCTTCTCAGACATCCAATCCCATCCCTCATTACGACCCACCCCTCGCCTTCTCAGGCATCCCATCCGAACCCACCCCTCCCCATCTCGGACATCGCATCCCATCCCTCCCGCTAACCCACCCCTCCCCATCTCGGACATCGCATCCCATCCCTCCCGCTAACCCACCCCTCCCCATCCCGGACATCCCACTCACGAAGCTGCTGGGGCGATAGGGTCTCACGAGAACGCTGCTGCTGTTGGCGCTGGCCACCACCAAAGCCTCCTCGCTGCACAGCGCCACCCCGACCAGCACCACCGCCGCCGCCACCCCCACTGCCGCTGCCGCCGCCGCCTCCACCTCCACCACCGCCACCGAAGCCCCCACTCCAGCCACCACCCCCACCTCCACCCCCACCCCCTCCGCCGCCTCCACCGCCACCACCGCCACCCCCGCCGTCTCCTCCAGCACCCTTGCCCCCCTTGCTCCTGCCGCTGCGGCGCTTCCCACTAGGAGCAGACGCAGCGCCGACCGACTCGGTGCCAACGAGGTTGAGAGCAGCAGCAGAGGCAACATAGGGCAAAAGGGGGACGAGGGAGCACCCCTCAAAGAAAGGGGCACGAGGGTCACCACGAGAGGCCCCTACAGCGACTATACTCTTCTCAGCTGCAAGGAGGCGCTCCTCGAGGAGGTCAACGGTGAGCGTGGTGGGGCAAAGGGAGAGGAAGTGGTCCCTGACCGAGCGAAGGGAGTCAGGGAGCCGGGTGACGAGGTAGTAGAGAGTGATGTACATAGGGGGGGGGGTCTTGGCGCAGAACTCGGCAGGAAGCGCAGCGCGGTAGCGGGTGTCACTAGTGCGGAGGTGCGTAATGAGGTCAGCAACTGTGGCAAAAGTAGCTAGGTCAGAAAACAGGTACGGCATCATGAGGCGGCTAAGGGCAGCAGTGGCAGGGGAGGAGTAGCGCGCAACAACAGCGTCGTACAGAGTCCTAGCGGTCTTGTACTGGCTAAAGTGCTCGCGCTTAGCAGACGGCAGGTGACTACGAATAGCAAGACGGGCACCAGCATCGCGCGTGGTCCACTGCGAGCGAACAGCACTGTCAGCATCGGCAGCAGGTGCAACAGAGCCGCTCGGCAAGGTTGAGCGGCTCGGCAGGGCGGCGCGGGTGCGGCGGTGCGCTTACCAGGGCGGGATCGGGGTAGGGCCGCAACTGGCAGGGCAGGGCCGTGGCGCGCCGGCAGGTCAGGGGCGCTTCAGGCAGGGCCGCGACGAGGCGGCAGTGCAGGGCGGCGACACGGGCGCAGGGTAGAGCCGCAACGACGGCGTCTGTAGGCAGGGCCGCAACAGCGGCGGTAGGCAGGGCCGTGACCGCGGCCATAGGAAGGGCCGCGACGGCGGCAGGCAGGGCCGCGACGGCGCCAGGCAGGGCCGCGACAGCTCCAGGCAGGGCCGCGACGATAGGGCGGCAGGGCCGCGATGGCAGGGCGGCAGGGCCGCAACGGCAGGGCGGCAGGGCCGCGACAGCAGGGTGGGGCCGCGACGGCTTCAGGGAGGGCCGCGACGGCAGGCAGGGCCGCGACTGCAGGGCGGCAGGGCCGCGACGGCAGGGCGGCAGGGCCTCGAAGGCAGGGCGGCAGGGCCGCGACGGCAGGGCCGCGACGGTAGGGTAGGCGCACTGGGCGCAGGTGAGGTAGGCGCGAGGCGTGCAACAGGGCAGACAGGGGCAGGAGCGCGCTTCGAGCAGGGCAGGAAAAAAAAAAATTAAGAGGTGGGCCCTAAAAAAAACGGTCCCACTAGGGAACCCGCTCTATACCATGTGAGAATAGTACGAGGAATGAATGAAATAGGAAGCAGGTGGGTACAAGTAGGCAAACCTAAAAGTGTTGTACCCCATATTGTCTACCCCACTACAGCCTACAATATAGTTCTGACATTATGAAAATTTTAGATTTTGAATAACTATAGTGCATTATCAAAAGAATTGGCAAGGGGGCAGGTAAATGTACATGGATCTGTTTAGTAGAGGAAAACGCCATCGACAGGATTCGATCCTTCGACCTTTCGAACTACTGGAAATCTGCATGGACTAAGACACGGCGCGAAGAGTGTAGCTTTGAAGCCGAGTGGAACGTTTTCGCCATGGTTTCCCCAAATTGCCTGGGGCTACACGAGCCTACCTTGGACAGATTTGGGAGGGAACAGTTTCAAGAATTACTGTATACTGTCCCGAAAGTATCTTTCGGGAGCCTGGACACATTTAAGACATTTCTATGAGACCTGATTGAGGCTTCCGGGATCGCAGTTTGGCAGGGATGGTTCTAGGACCTCAACTTTTTGGTGATGTACTTGTCCGTGGTGCGCGCATTACTAATGCGCCAACAGAACGCAACCATAGTTCTTGCCGTGGTGGTTGTTGTCAGAAACACTAAGGACAGCTAGGCTTAGGAGCCATAGCTTTAGTAGGGAAGAACTTAGGTTTTAGGGTTGAAGGAGGTGTCGAGAGAGTTGAAGCAAGAAGAAGGTGTTCACTAAGAAACATGAGTACAAGATATAGCAAGGAGAAGCATGGTGCACCACCTACAGCAAATTGGGATATGCTACACTCTACACTGCAGACAATTATAAAGAACATATATAAATATAGTTCAACAGTTGTTTGAGCGAGAACCTCACGAAACACAGCACATAGAGCGTGTTACACCCAAGCAAAGATTGCTGCTTTTTTAGGATCGCCGTAGGCGATCCTTGAGAACAGTGTCCTACCTACCACTGTACAGTGAACACTGTTTCAGATGATGTACCAACAGAGAGAGGATCGGGACCATGTGTATTCAACGCTACACAATCTCTGTGAAATCCTAGGATTGTCGAGAGTCAACATTCTCTTTGCAATCCTTGCAATTCGGTACCATAGAGATAGTGATCTTGGTTGGCGAGAAAACAAACATTCGCACGCTAGTCGCAAGCACAAACTCATCGCAACCAATCACATCATTCATATGTGAAAACTCCAAGGCGCTCTTATGAACAAGCCATGCACACATCTGTGCCCACAAGCATTGGCCAATGTTGTGCTCTTGAGCTGGCGACACATTCGACACGCAGTCAATTCAGATGCAGTGCTGTAGGTGGAATTGCATGAATCACCAAGCACGAGAGTGCGTAGAGTGGCATCGTGCACACCCAATCTCTCAAAAGCATTGCTACTATCTTGCATGCAGTCAAGATACTGGCACGACCATTGCGTTTTCTAAATGTCGTCGGCATTTAGAATAAACAGCCGTGAGCCACGGGACACGTGTAAAAGTGAAGACAAGTTTGCTCTCATTTCCGAGTTCCAAGGCTAGTATGAACACCCCGTTGTGATTAACCGAGAGCGCCGCGCTGCTCCGTTCCCTTACTAATGAATTTAGCAACAACGAATGGCGCCCCGACGGATCTGGCCACGCGAGTCGCAAACCTCGACTCGCGTGGCGCGATCCGTAGTTGCCGACACGAGACAGTCTTCAACGTTCTCTGACGCAGAGAGACTGCCCACCAAATTGAACAACTATATACGTCACGAACACAAATGTACTTCTCACTGCACTCTAATAGTGTAGAGCATCACCATGGCAGATAGTAGCAGCTGGGCCTCTAATGACAACACTGATACGTCAACCGACGGGTATAATGAGATTTTGAGGAGTCTTCCGCCGTACATTGGTGTCACCGGTGTGTTCCCTGGCAGTCAACACTCTGCAGTTGGAATTTTTGACCTGAACGCCCCATTTCTGAACAATGGCGAACCCAACGCGGCGACGGCTGATGCAGCCAACATTTCAGCGAATGCGCATCAGGTATTAGCGAGTACAAGCGTGCAACCTCAGGGAACTCATGTGCAGGTCGTGCCTAACGCCGCGCCTGTTTCTGCACCAACGTCTAGTGGTGTCGCTCGTACCCCACGACGCAGCCTTGGGAACATAGCAAACAACGATGAGATGCTGGCTACGTTAGGGGACCCATCAGCACCCCTTGGAGAGGATGACGACCAGCTTGGGGAGTTAGATGATGTTGCACCGGAGGTGGTGCAATCAGTGACGGACGAGCGTGCTGAGTCCACACCCTCTCGTGGACAGTCCTCTCGAAGAGGCCGAAGTGTTTCGCGAGGTAGGGGTCGCGGACGTGCCTCTCGTACGACTTCTACCAGTATCCGCGGTGACACGGTGTGGACTGATGTGGAAACTATTATTCTTGCTGAGGTACGACGTGACAAGGATGATCTGATTGCCCGCATGAAGAATTGTCAGGGGCAGAATTACAACACCGAGTTGTGGCGGGAGTGTAGGTGCCGCGACCCCGGTTTCCGTCATGGCATAAATGCTGTCAAAGCTAAGCTTCAACGCATGACTGCCAGGTGGAAGCAGATTGATGACGAAAGGCAGACCTCTGGTGGTGAACGCATACCGGATACGGACCTTCCAATATGGTTTCCAATCCTGGACCCCGTTCTGGCCACTCGAGAGACCGTGAGGCCATCGTTCACGAGGTCGAGCTTGACGCCTATCGAGGCAGGGGGGGCACCGCTGACTGCTGCAACGCCAACGGCCTCTGTCAATGGTATGATAATCTTTGCGTATACTGGATGTAGTGTGTGTTATTTCAATTTTGACATGCTCTTACAAATGTTGACCATTACCGGTATTTTTTTTGAATTTTGAACAACACAGGCGGAGGTACCATCCCCACAGCCAATCCTACTAGTGTGCCAGCCCCTGCTCCCCTTGCTGCCCCTCCTACCCCTACTACCCCTGCTACCTCTGCTGCCCTTGCTACCCCTGCTATCCCTGCTGCCCCTGTTACCCCTTCCGCCCCTGCTACCCCTGCTGCCCCTGCTACCCCTGCTATCCCTGCTGCACCTGCTCCCCCTGCTGCCCCTGCTCCCCCTGCTGACCCTGCCCCCCCTGCTGCCCCTGCTCCCCCTGCTGCCCCTGCTCCCCCTGCTGCCCCTGCTACCGCTGTTGCCCCTGCTACCCCTGCTGCCCCCACTTCAACAACCAATGGCCGTCCTTCCACTAGCGATGGTCGTCGTGCTGGACGATCCCGTTCTGCCAGCGCAAGGCAGACTGCAGATGCTTCAACGCCTAGCACGGGTGCGCGGCGCTCCGTCCGTGGGCTCCGGGGCCCTACGTCTATGGCTGCAGGGGAGAATATCGAGTTTGATGCAGAGTTATGGACCGACGCTGGGACGAGAAACATGGCAACTCAGCTTGGGGAATTGGTTGAAAACGCCATGCTTCGAGCAATGGATTACGGTATTGGCAGGTTGGGTGTTCTTACCCGAGATGTGGCTGCATCTCTCCCAGATGTGCCAGCCGCCAGGAGGCGTAGAGTCCGTTTGCCAGGCGGTTCCGGCGACGAACTAGCGTGAACCCCGGCTCGCTCGGTGTGATGTGTTGCAGGAATGTTGCAGGACCACTTTTCCACCACTCGTCCCTTTCGTTTCCGTCAATAGCTACTCTAGGCCTGCTTCCAATAGCTAGCTCGATGTTGTGGATCGCTACCACAACACTAATGGTTGCACTGAATTTAGGTAGTGTGCATTCCATTGTCCTGTCAAGTAGTCGCCATTTATTTTTTATCCGTCCATTCACGCACTCCACTATCATCCGACAACGGGATTGCATCTCATTCCAAACCATCTCCTCCAGTTTCAGGCCTTCCGTAGGGTGCGCGCGGTACGGCGTGAGGGTGTAATTGCGGAGTCCATAGGCACAGTCACCAACTAAGCAGTAGTCGTTCAACCTACCATTTGCCACTCGTGATTTGGCGGGCGAGCGGTGCCACACACGAGCGTCGTTGACACTTCCAGGCCATCCTGTGAAGAAGTCCCATATAAACCCGCTACTATCAACAATCAGCTGCAAAACCATCGAGTAGTATCCGTGCCTATTCCTGAAGTCATCCCTTCGGTGGCCAAAACTGTTAAGGTGAAGCCCTGCACGCGCCTGGTTTTGCGTGTAGCAGCCCTATGCGATGTAGCGAGGTTTCGCATACAGCATACCGGAGCTTCGGTATTCACCGAGTACACTCCAATAGTACACTTTGGTATGCACTGTTCAACACTGAACCGAAACGGAGGGAAGTGACGACATTGCACAAACGAGTATGTGCAGCTGTTTGTTGAGAGCACCTGCGCAACTAGTCCTGGGCAGGTAGAAAATGCACCTGACGGTATCTTCACCTGATGGTATTTTCACCTGGCGGTGCCAACCTGGAACCGCATACTAGAGTAGGTGCTTGCACATTCTTCTTGAACAACGTTCTTTATGGACAACGTTCTCGTAGAACGTTCTCGCACACGTCACTATGTTTCCTATAAGGTTCATGTTGTATCTGTTGTAATCAATCAATTAATCAATTACTTTCCTTTCGTTACTGGATACCAAGCCTATTGCTGCATACCAAGCATACTGTTCTCCAAAATACCAGTATCCGGTTTCCAACAAGTCCGTACACGGAAAACTCTCTGATCGTGCAACTCTGCGCCTAGGCTCTCCCATAATCGCCTATTTTCCACATGGTGCGGTGAGCGTGGACGCATACGCGAACTTCAGATGGCCTCGAATACGATTGACGAAGTTGTCAACCTTGAGCCGGCAGCCACTTCGATTCCGTATGGTTGGCGAGGGCGCCACTACGGAAGTCATGGACCTGGAGACGCAGGTCGTGGCGAAATCAGCGACGCGGATCTGGAGCTGATGATTGAAGGAGCTCGTTCGAAGTGGGCTCGCGATCACCCACCTCCTCGCGCTGAGGCGGAAATTGAGTCCGCTTCTCCCCGTGCTGAAGGCAAAAACGTCAACATCGATGGCAATGAAGGCGCAAGAGTGACGCGCGGTGAACTGCGAGGGGCCGTCAGAGTGCACACCGCGAGCGTCGGTGGAACGCAAGCGCAAGTCCTTCGGTCAGCTGCTGAAGCGAGTGTGCGTAGTGATGCGCACGGTCGTCGCAACCCTGCACGACCAAGTGGTGGCGGACCTTCTTGGACGGCAAATGCGTCAACCGTACGCGATGGTGGAATTGCTCCGGAATACGGATACTTCAAGTTCTCGCCTGACAAGATCGTCGTGCCAAAACTACTTGAAGGGCGTCATGACTTGACAACGTGGGTTGAGTCTATTGAACCGCAGTTGGAGATCGCGCAGCTGAAGAAGTTCGTTGACGGCACGGTGGAGGTGCCGCCTGAAGATGACGCTGAGCGGCGCGCACAGTTTCATTCCACACAGCTGTTGACGTTTATGGTCATCTCAAGGTGTTGCTCGCCGGTCGTCCAAGTTGCATTGAAGCCATGTCGTCTCCCGGTCGACGCTGGTTTTCAAGCTTGGCAATTCATTATGAAGACCTACAAGGCAACGGATGACCTTTACATCGGCCAGCTGGAGCAACGGTTGACAAATCTGGAGATGGGGGAGCACGAAAGCGCAACCGCATACTGCAATCGCGCACAACAGATTCTTGCAGATCTGCGTATGGCTGGCGTGGACTACTCAATGACTTCGTACGTCACGCATGTCATCAAAGGTCTGCCTGCAAGCTACAATCTCCTTCGACGCATGGTGAAACTTCCAGGTGTACGGGAAGAACTCGATGAGGATACGCTTTCGAGCTACATCATTGAAGAGGAGTTCACACTTGAATCCGAGCGGCGCAAGGAGCAGCTTCTCCCTCAAGTCAACTATGTCGCGTCAAAGCAACAGCGGCAGCAGCAAAAGTGGGCGAAATCGCGCGGAGGAGGCGACAATGAGAAACAAGTCAACCGCGCGAAGACGACCAAGAGTGACGAGCGTTCCGGTGGCGGAAAGCGCAACTCTCGACGATACTGCTTTGTCTGTGGAGATCCCGACCATTTCGCAAACCAGTGCCCCGACCGCGTCAACAAGGATGCTGGCGATGGACAGGAAGCTTCGCACGGACGATCACAGAACCGTCAACCTCGTCGCGAAACCGCCTACCGTAAGGATAACCAGCGCTCGGATTCCAAAGACAAGCAGCCGTCGGATGCAGGAACATCCCGCGGAAAGGGTGCGAAGGAGGCCCCAAGTGATGACCACGAAGGGCAAGCGTCGTGTTCGATGGTCGGCGTGGTGACGGACACATCCGCAAAATCGACCATTTCCTTGGCTCCCGAAGCTGGCGAGGACTTCCAAGTGGTTGCGGCAGCGGTGCAAGCAAACCCGACCGTGGTACTCCTCGACAGTGGCTGTTCTCATCACCTCATGGGGACGCGTGAGGCATTCGTGAACATGAATGCGGGAGGCGACGTTCACCATGTGCGTGGATTCAACGGCGCTATTCAGCCCGTGCAGGGGCGCAGCACGATTGCTCTTCAATGCGCAGCGGGCACGAAGGTTCTCATTCCCGATGTGCTGTATGTGCCTGGCGTACAGGCAAATCCGCTGTCAGCTGGACAGTTAAAGGACAGTGGTGTGCAGTTTCAGGACACCGGTGACGAGACACTTCTCGTATCTGCTGAGGGAGCTGTTCTCGGTCGTGCGCGCTACACCGGCCGCGTCCTCTGCACTGGCATGCGCCCGTGTTCATCGCAGCAGCCGACGGCGCCGCCAACGGAGACGGTCGCTTTGCGGACGATTGCGTCATCTACGAGGTCGTCGGCGGACACCTGGCATGCACGCCTTGCGCACGCGGGGATGGATACGATCAAGCGCACAGCTGCACATGGCGCGGCAGCCGGTTTGGAGATCACGTCATCGGCTGGCGCGGATCTGGTGTGCGTTTCTTGCGTTGGCGGAAATCTGGTTCGGCATACCTTCCCCGACCAGGGTTCTGAACCCGACAACGCATTGGATGTTGTGCACATCGACATCTGCGGACCCTTTCGAGTTGCTGCCAAGGACGGGAGTCGCTACTTTCTTCTCCTGAAAGATCGCAAAACGCGCTGGACGTATCCTCTCACGCGGAAGAGTGACGCTTTGGAGAAATTTGAAAAGTGGTTGACGATGGTGGAGCGCCAAACGACGGTGACGGTGAAGATGATCCGATCTGACCGCGGAGGGGAGTTCTTGGGTCACGATTTCACTGCCTTCCTCGACAAGCACGGCATTGTACACGATCTGACATGTCCGTATACCCCGCAGCAGAACGGTATGGCCGAACGCGAAATGCGCACACTTGTCGAGGCGGTGCGGACCATGCTTCTCCACATGAACGTGCCACACCATTGGTGGAACCTCGCGCTTCGCCAAGCTGTGTGGGTGCGCAATAGCATTGAGCGCGCTTCTCTGTCCTCGGGATCAACACCGTATACGCTGATGTACAAAGAGAAGCCAGATCTCACCATGGCCCGGGTGTGGGGTTGCATGGTGCAATACATGGTCCCGCAACATCAGCGCGGTGGGAAGCTTGCGCCGAAAGCGAGCTGGGGACTTCATCTTGGTGTTTCTCCCGCGAGCAAAGGTTGGGAGGTGCTGGATTTCGCTGCAAACCGCATCGTCACCACTGTGGAGGTGATATTTTACGAAACCCAGTCGCTGGATGACTGGAAAGCCGAGCGCGCGCCAGGAAGTGCACCCAAGGTATCCACTTCGGCGGTCTCTGCTCCTTCACCGAGTCTTCTCGCTGAGGAGATTGACGATCCGCTTGACGCTCCGGCTTCGGCACCTGCACCTCCGCACGTCCCCACGTCCATCCCCAGCTCTGCCCTCCCACCAGTATACCCACGTGTGGTGCCGGTCACCAAACCGTCAACCTCCTCCTCGCCTACCGTCATCTCCTCTCCGCTACCGGCTGCGGACACCCTCTCTCGTCCAACCACCGACACCCCGTCCACGTCGGCCGCCGACGATGAGGGGAGACATGACGCGCTACCTTCGGCGCCGCGCATCGGCATCGTCGACGGTCGACCTGCCGCATCTTCTGAAACCGGCGCACCTGGTATGCAGAAACAGGCAGGGGAGCATATGACAGGGGAGCAGTTGACAGGGGAGCAGACCAGCGACAGCACGTCGAGCGACGTTGTGGAGGTCATCGGCGAAGCTGCAGGGGAGTCATCTGGAGACAGCTCTTCGAGCGATGTGGTGGAAGTCAAGCTGCCGACACGGCACTCCACCCGTTCCAACTTCAGTGTACCTCCAAAGAAGTGGGCCAATGTGTGCCCGGTATTCGCTAACACGCTTCTTGATGACGCAAACACGGATACCACGCTGCCAGAACTGGATCCCAATATGCACGCTGACCCTGAACGACGGTGGGACATCTCCACAATGACCGTCAAGGAAGCGCTAGCGAGCTGGAAGGGGAAGGCGGTGAAGGCAGCAATGGAGGAAGAAATGCGCAGCCTTCTTGCCAACGGAACATGGGAGCTGGTGCCTCGACCGCGCGGCGTCAATGTCATGAAGAACCGGTGGGTTC